GGGCGCCACCAACTTTTGAGGACACTTTTTTAATTGGCTCAAAGAGAGAAGTGGCCCATCTTGTCTTGTACTATCTTTGCCGTAACCGCTGATAAATAGATACAGCTAAAAATACATATGAACGAAACATTCATTTTGGTTTCGTGCTTTGGCTTTTTAACAGTTGTACAACGGCTCGGCATAATATCCACATCTTGTTTGACAAAAGCAAGACAACAACCATAGTCCTATCAGAGGGATAGACAAGACATAATATGACCTATCAAAAGCACCCTTCAACCACCTACGTGGCTTACATGGAGCTCCACTCAATGGGCAGTGTTGTTGTGCCGAAAGGAACGACAGCAGGTGTGGGTGGGAGTATCATTGTACGAGGACCCTCCCCTGGCAAGCCTCATTCTTCATGTCTTTGCCAACCTGCTTTATCTCCATTTCTGACATTTATTCCTACATGCCTGACCTAAAAATAGCCATGTGGTGCGTGGGATGCCCACTCTTCGGCCAGTAATGATAGGAAACAGTTCCAAATGTGGCCTGTTGTAATTGGAGCTGGTCGGTTTGACAGCTTATTACTATGTCTATAAATAGCAGCTGCTTTTATGTTGTCTAATTGGAATTGATTTATATCTGCCAGCATCCAAGGTACATAAGAGTAATTTGTTCTTCTATGCCAGCATTTTGCTCGTCCTCTCTTATCCGAAAGTACATGTACCGGTACTTTTATTTTCTAATCTAGAAAAGCTTGGAACCCCACAAACCTAACATTAGCAAACAGAGAGTGGTATACGCATATATGCCTATAGCGGTACTGTGTAACATGGTGAAACTGACTAATTTCAGGTCAAATTATGAGCAATTGCAACGCCTTGCAAGATTTCAGAAATATTTTAGAGAGAATGAATATGAAAACACCATAAGCAAAACCTCTCGACTCCCTTTCCCCACACCGAACTATTATACAGACGACGATTTTACGATAATAACCCGTTTATTTAGATATGCCAAAGTCTACGGAAGACGTGTTAAGTGCATAATCCTAATCATGTACTATGAGGTTAATTTAAACGACATATTTCAAAATGGCAACATCGTAACATTTTAGAAGTTCATGAAAGAAAATACTATCTGCAGGTCCTTTTTTCGTTACTTTTCACTAATATTTAAACCCTTACAATTTTAAAAAGTGCGTGCAGTTGACTCTTGCGTATAACTGACTTATGACATTAATTTTCTCCAAGATACACGTATGGCTGACTTAAACTTAAATAAGTTTACTATTTATTCAATCTGGCTATTTCTTTCGCTTGAGAACAGAAGTAAAATGGGTACCTATAATATTATGTTTGTTCTGTTGTTTTTAAGTTTAGTCTGACCTCTTTTAGTTAGAACTAAAAGCATCCTAAGTAAGCCTGTGTGCCTGAATGTGTTCGTTGGGTTGGATAAAAGTAAGAGGAAAAGTCTGTGTAGTTTACACGAAGTTTTAAAAAAAGTGTCTAATACCCCAACGTTTCTCTCTCTCTCTCTCTCTCTCTCTCTCTCTCTC